GAAGAGCCATCTTTTTTTTCTTGTTAAACCTCAGCTTAATAGCCCACAACATGAAGTCTCTGTTTCAATGCTCTTATAATCTGGTCCTATTCTCCTTTTCCAGTCTTCTTTAAACTTTTATTCATTCATTAGTTCATTTATTTATCCAGTAAATATGTGTTGAGTGCCTACTAGCTCTCAGGCTGGAGTCATTTGTTTTCCTAAGCTAGTTTTTTTGGGTTCTGTGGAGAGAAAACATCCTCATGACTGTCCATGCTTTCTAATGTCACAATGATTCATTTCTGATGGTTGTTTTTGCCATTGTAATGCTTGAGAGGTTAAATGTATCTTAAGAACAGCCTTTTAAAACCAGATCTTGAAGTTGAAGTGGTTAATTTTGCTTTTATGAAGCAGATGATGTTCACATTTTGGACTTTCAGGTTTGTGAAACCTGTGTTTAGAACTGTGGTTTGCCTTTAAAAACAAGAATAGAAAAGAATGCTTATTGAAGCAGCTATAATAGATTTGGTAGCTCATTGAAATTTAGAACACCTCAAATGCAAGCGTGGACTGAGTATTACCTCACGTGTTAGATTTTCTAGTTGCTTATTTGTTTCCGGTCAACTTAACCTCAGCCTAAGTCCCACAGACTGAGGTATAAAGGTCTACCTCACACAATACACCTCGACTGGGCTTGCCCTCCAACTGCGTTTCCTTCTCCTTCTACAGTCCTAGGTATTGTCGAGGCACACATTTATGTAATACAACTAACTTGATGTCATTTTTGTATTTGTACTTCATTCTTCCGGAGAAGTCGCTGGACCAGCTCCAGGGCTAGGGTGATGGAGAAGAGGCTGAATGGTACAAGTGCAGGGTCAAATCTTTATTTAATTAAAGTTTTGGTATTTTGTTCATCATGGATTTTTTTTTTTTTTTAGATTTTTTTTTTTTTTTTCCTTTTTCTCCCCCCGGTACATAGTTGTGTATTCTTCATTGTGGGTTCTTCTAGTTGTGGCATGTGGGACACTGCCTCAGCGTGGTCTGATGAGCAGTGCCATGTCCGTGCCCAGGATTCGAACTAACGAAACACTGGGCCGCCTGCAGCGGAGCGCGAGAACTTAACTACTCGGCCACGGGGCCAGCCCCTCATCATGGATTTTTTGCACTAATTTTTATTTGTAAAAAATGCTGCATTAAAATATTGTTTACCTTGACTTCTGAGATTTTTGGGGACCCCCTGACATCTTGTGTCTGAGGTGTATTGGGTCCTTCTCCTTTACACACATTATTTGCATATTGACGTGAATGGCTGCTTAAATCATTAAAACTTTCAAGTTAGAAAATATATATTTCAAAGAGAAAATAGGTATTCATTATTTTACCAAAACCTATAATAAAAAATTACCTTAATTACCATCAGCTCAAAGTGTAAATATTTATGTTTACAACTGAGATAAGATTTGGACATGCAGGGAAGCCAGTCCATGAAAACAAGTAGAGACAACAAAAGGGAAGATGGACAAGCACCCAGGATTAACCACTTTATCTACTTTATTATGTTGTCTTGAAATGGCTGGTCTTGTTCCATCTGCAGCCTGGCAGCCCCATCTCTAAAATGGCAGTGTAGTCCTGTAGGCTTCAAACTACACCTCTGGAGGGGGAGGAGAGGAGGAGGAAGAGAGAGTGGGTGGAGCCTCAGACCCTGAAGCTGCAGTTAGCCAGAGCAATTCAGTTCATATTCATCTTATATATTCTCCATTTCCTAAAGAGTTCATTTGATGGGGGAGAAATCCTCAGCTAAAAAAGAAAATCACAGCACTAGGTAATTTTCAAGGTCTCTGCTAATTCACAATTCTGAGTGTGCGTGTGTTTCTAACATGGATTTCTGCATATCCACCCACACCTTGATCTGGTCACCCTGCAAGGTGTACGTCACCCTTAGTGAGACCACTGGCTTTTTTGCCTTGGGTATCTCTTAGCTGCCATAAATATCACCAGAGTTTCTCTAGATTTAATTGTAATTCCAAGAAGGATAATGGAGAGATTTAGGCCTTGTGTGGTAGCAACGTCCTGCAAATTCTGCATCCTATATTGAAGAACAGGAAGAACACCTAGTTATATTTTTATTTTGTTTTAAATTTCTGTTAATGCATTTAACATATATAATAGTTATAACAGAGCATATAAATTATATTAGTCTATTAGTATAATAATATTTATAATTTATAAAAATAAATATTCATAAATAGGAGATGTGTGCTCAAAAAAAATTTGTTTTCCTTGTTGGGGCATGCCACTGTTCTTGAAACCTTTTCAGGAATTGCTTCTCTTTCACTAGTAAAATTTTTTTTTTTGGTGAGGAAGATTGACCCTGAGTTAACATCTGTGTCAATCGTCCTCTATTTTGTATGTGGGTCACCACCACAGCATGGCTTGATGAGTGGTGTAGGTCCGCGCCCAGGATTCAAACCCAGTAACGTGGGCCACTGAAGCAGAATGCACTGAACTTAAGTACTGCACCACCGGGCTGCCCTCATTAGTAAAATTTTTGATCTTTGATAACTTAAAGGATGAGTAGAGACTCTCTGTGTCTTAATCTTTAGCATATTTGTGTTTAGCATATCCCCCATAAATCTGAATTTTTATGTGTGTGAGTAATCAAAAATGTGTATGGGATATTATTTTCAAAATCCATTGCATAAGTATATTTTGATGTAACAAACTGCAAAGAAGTGGAAAGGGAAAAATAACTATGTCACTCTTCTGTTTATTTGTTGCTTTTTGATTCTCTTGCAATGGGCAGAGAGGTGAAAATTCATAAAATGAAAGCACAGATTTAATTATGGAAAAGGAATAGAAATTGTTTTTTTTAAAACATGAATTTTAGCAGCACAAATAACAGTGTTTAGTTTTATGTAATTGACTTTAAACTGGATTCCTGTTTGCAGTTTCTTCTAGATCTTTGCCAAAAGCTGCATGCAAATGTTTGAAAAATTAGGATTCTAAAAATATGTTTTCGGGGCTGGCTCCGTGTCCGAGTGGTTAAGTTTGCATGCTCTGCTTCGGCGGCCCAGTGTTTTGCAGGTTTGGATCCTGGGCACAGACATGGCAGCGCTCATTAGGCCACGTTGAGGCGACATCCCACATACTACAACTAGAAAGACCCACAACTAAAAATATACAACTATGTACTTGGGGGCTTTGGGAGAAAAAGTAGAAAAAAAAAAAAAGAAGATTGGCAACAGTTGTTAGCCCAGGTGCCAATCTTTAAAAAAAAAATATGTTTTCTTAATCTCGTTTTTTTAGGGATGCATGTTTACGTTACATTACATAAATTTTGAAGCTTCTAAGTTTTTATTTTTTAACTACTTCCCATATGATCTTTTTTTTTCATTTCTTTTTCTCTTCCTCTTCTCGGTTCCTTATATTCAGCCTCAACAAAGAGGCCTCACTGAAGGGAAACAGACCTAGAGACAGAGTGAGAGGAACAGCCAAAACTATATGAGAAGTTAGGTATAGGAACGACATTAAAAGATGTTTACTTTTGATTTTAATATTCTTCCAGGGTGATAAAATATGCATGCAGGCAGCTCTGAGTCTGAAAAGCACTTCATGCACCTTGACATTCAACAGATATTTATTGCATTCCTCCTACCACGTGCAAAACATCGTACAAGACAAATGAGTCACAGCCCATGTCCTCAAAAGGCTTAAAAAACTTATGTGAGGTGGGGACAGGAAGGCTGACACTAATCAGAAATTTATAATGTATGTGATAAATTCGATGATAGAAATATGCCGGAGTGTTTCAGAACACAGAGGAGGGAAGCTACCTAGCCCTAGGAGGCAGAGAAGCCTTCTGGGAAAGGGTGCCCAGGTTACCCCTGAAGGTATGAATAGATGTTAGCCAGGGGATGGCGGGGGTGGGGGCGTTGGGATTGAGGGCAAAGAACCTCAGCCTCTGGGGCAATATGAGCAAGGCACAGGGGTGCCATTGGCTGGGTGTGACTGCACAGCTTTAGGATGGGTACAGGTCAAGCGTGGGTGAAAATGAAGGACAGGTAGCCTGGGGCCAACTCCTGGAGGGTACGATGCACCCTGTGAAGGGTTTGGGCTTGATCCTGTGGGTGATGGGAAGGCTGTGAAGGATTAATCATAGAATAATCATAAGCAGATTAACTTTGAAATAATTCCACTGACATCTGTGTAAAGAATAAAGTTGCAGAAAGCAAGAAAGAGTGTAAGAAAATAATTTGGGACGTGATGCAACTGTCCAAGAAGAGTGAATGGCAGTCTGAACTAAGGCAGTGGGAATGTGGTGGAGGGAATTTGCAAAGTGTCCTATTGCTCTGAGTGGCTGAGGAGAATACTGATGGTTCATACTCCTAATATTTTTCACCTTTCCTGTGTCAGGTGCTAAGCCCCAAGATACAGGGCCCATTCTGTCAACAGGAATTATATGTATGTAGTTTATCTTAGTTTCTAGGAGTGAAGTGGTTGGATTCCTTCCACACGGTCCCTATGTGTGTGCTGGGGATACTGGTACAATGTCTCAGGGAAGTTAAAAGATGCAGACCATTCTCTACAGTCATATTCTAAAAGCACAATAAGTTTCCACAACCTCCCAAAGGTGTCGTCATGATAAGTATTTTGTTACAGCCATTTTTCTCTGCCTCTTTGCTGTATTGGTTGGTCGTTTTTAGGTGATGAATTTCTCAACTTGACATTAATCCCTAAAAGCATTGATGAAGTAATTATCCACTGCATTTCGTAGGTGGCAGTCCTACGTACTAATACCTGTTGTTTGAAATGAAGCCTTTTTGACTTTTAATGGAAAATTTTTTTGTAGAATTAAAGGGTCTGCCTTTCCCAAGGAAGTCAGGAGAGTCATGGTGTTTACCAGTTTTAACTAAAAAAAAAAAAAACCACACACACACAGACAAGATGATTAAAATGTGATAATCTATCTGGATGTTTTTACCTTTTCTGGCTTTCATGGTTTGTTTTCTTTTAATTTACAGGAAAGAAAGTTTATCAGAGTTTCTTCCTAAACCTGTCTTAGAAATAACAGCATATTTTAATCAGAGATTTGTAAGTATCCTTTTCTTCTTTATTTAGGAAATTAGATATTGATTTTATGGAAGAATTGGCTCCCTCAGTAAAACACTTGATAGCATATAGCTATAAAATCTGAGTTGGCATGCGAAATTTGAATGAGAGTAAAACACACACAGAAATCACCACTCAGAAATCAAAACAAAAAAATCAAAACCTCAGTCAAAAAATCTTTACCAAATCTAGCTACAGCTAGTGAATGTTTGATTTATTTTTTGGCAATTTCTCTTTCTTTGTGTTGTTTTCATTACTTTTTCCGTTTTGTGAAAATACCTGTATGTCCACATCTTTTAGAAAGTCTGAAACATCAGTGGGAAGGAAGAGGAAAAGGGTAGGGTGTGAACACAGAAAAGGGAAGAATTTGTTCTCTGTTAAAAGTTACGTGGCTTTGGACAACTTTGCATTTTCCATTAACATTTTTAGTGGATTTTTGAAAAATCAAAGCTGAGTCTTATAATAGCTAAGGTCCATTCAGTTTCACCATGTTTTTGAAATGCCTATTATTGTGCTATACCCCAAACTGGTCAACTCAAGAATGGAGAATCTGGGAGATCCTTCCTATTTCAACTTAGCAAGAGTTATTTTATTACAGGAATTGAGAAGAACCAGTGAGAAAAAAAATACTTTTTCCTAAAAAGATCTCTGTAGTAGTAGCATTTTGTATTTTGTTTGTTGAAAAACATTTCAAGTCTACTGTAGTCTTATTCCAGCACTAAAGCAAATAGTCGGCATATTGAGTTGCAGAGCATGGAGTCTAGGACCTGTGGTGTGAAGGAGATTAACGAAGCAGAGTCAGGTAACTTAAGGTCTGGAGCTGGGAGGGTTCCATGTTAGGTGTGTAAGACTTTGGGCAGCATGGAGCTGGGCTTCTCAACTGTATTTGTGTTTGAAGGTGTTGACGAGAAATGATGGCTGCCTTAGATCATTTTATGATAGCAGGAAATCTCTGAAACATTGTTGCTTAGTAGGTAATAGTCATTTTATCTTGGCTTGGTTATTATAATGACAGTAACATTTGCGTAGTAGCTAACAAAACCAACCAACAGAAACTGAGACATGTTGCTAACTTGCTTCATCAGATAAGATCTCAGCAAATTGTTTAATTAAAAGTTGTACTGAACTCTTACTTACACATTCTGTAGCAATATTGGCTGTTTCTTAGCTATATGGCATTAATTTTCAGTTCCAATGCATCAATCTATGAGTCTTGTGGTTTTGGGCAAGTTACCTGAACTCTAAATGAAATGATGAAACAATACAATATAGATGATAATGAAATAAACCTAGACTGCTATCAGAATTTCCTCTCTCTACTATATTGTTTCATAGACTTTGAGGTTTTGTCCACATAATGATGTCGTTTGTCAGCATATATAAGCTATTTTGTGGATGAAGTTGATGTTTATAAAATCAGTAAAAGAATTGTTAAAATCCGTATTGACCACATTCCCAGTATTTTTAACAAGCATCTTAGATAATTCACGTGAAAGTGATCTACAGATTACCCTTTGAGAAACACCTGTTTTCCTTTAAAAATGGTCCCCAAACTAGTTGATTATTAAAGTCTTGTGGGAGCTTTGTAAAAAAATACATATTCCTAAGGCTTCACCTTGGAGATTCTGATTTGGCAGATCTGGAGCAAGGCTTTGGATCTGGGATTTTCAAAAGGGTGCCATGCCGATTTTGATATTTGCAAACCACTGCTTTCCAGCCTCACTGTATCTCTGACTTTTTATTGATAAAGCTTTTGGCTCTGCTTGTCATATGTGGATAAGGGGATATCATTATCCAATTTCGTCTAGTCCAGATGAAGTTACAGGAATGAAAAGGATGAATTGGGATGTCTACATTGCATGCAGTAACCAGATTGACAGTCTCACCCTGGATTGCATAGCTGCTTTAAGTAAATCCAAGTGCCAGACCAACGAATTGCAGAATTCCTGATTGAGAAAGGACTGTTGGAGCCATCTCATTCAAACTTCTTATTTCATGGAGGAAGAAAGTGAGGGTCACACCTCGCCACTACACGATCAACTAACCCCTCTGTCCCTTTCTTGGATCTTTATCTTAGCCAGAGCTGTCCATGTCTTTTCTCAAGCTCCATATCTCTTCCTGGCAGAACCATCATCATTTAGTGCATCTTATTCTTGCATATTTTTTTTTCATGGTGTCCATTACATCACTTTAGTTGCCCTGATTTCAACACTATTCATTTCTGGAGTGCCATTAAGTTAAACAAATATTAACTACTACTCTGTCCCAAGAACGGTCTTGGGTGCCAGAGATGTGAAATGAATCCAGCATGGTCCTAGTTTCAGAAGAGCTCACAGTATCATGGGGAGGCCAACATGAAAACTGCTGCGGAGCACTTGAGAGAGAGCCACAGGAGACACGGCTACCACTTCTGAGGGAGTCAAAGAAGGTTTTGGTGAGGAAATTACATTGATCTGTTTTGGGTGCAGAAATCACAACCCACAGTATAGGTGGTGTAACATTTTGAAACCACATGAAGGGAATGTTTTTAAGGCTTAATGAAGAGAGCTGAGGCAATTGAAATTTATAAGGCAGGTGTCAGCACAATGGAGAGAAAGGGACACTGCAACATGTGGCAGGAGACCTATATGACCACAGGCAAGCCAGTCAGACTCTCAGTTGATAATGAAATTCATGTTATTGGCATCCTACATACTGGGATAGTCAGATGGAGGAAAAGTGCATCCCAGAAGAAGTGCTGTCTGAGCTGAGGCCTCAGTTTTGAGTAGTTGTTGACCGGTGAAGAGAAGCTTTGGAAGGAGAGCGCTCCAGCAAGGAGGAAATGCGTCTGTCCATTGGCCTGGATCTTGAGGTGAAGAGAGTACTGAAGGAGGAGCAGTTTCTTTCAACTGCTGGACCGGGGTCGGGGGAAGGAGTGGCAAGAGGTGAGCCTGGGAAGTGAGCAGAGTGTAGATCATGTAGTGTGGTGTTGGGCCAAGGAACTGGGTGAATTTTTCCTTGAATAAGGGGAATGACTGAGGAGCTGATAGTGAGATTTGCTTGGCTGATGTGAAGAATGGACTAGAGGGCAACAAAACTGAGCAGGATAATATGTGAAGAGAATAATCTAGAGAGGCTGCAGACCTTAACTAGGGCGGTAAAGGAGGGTGAGAAGAGCAGTCAGTCCATCACCTGAAGAGCTATTTGGAGCATAGCTTCTACGACTTGATGATCATGGAGGATGAGGGAAAAGGATGCCTCCTGGGCTTCTGACTTGTGCAACTGGGTGGATTATGGTGCTGTTCCTTGAGAAAGAAAACCCAGGAGGAGGAACAGGCTTCAAAAGGAAGACGAAGATCTCTAACGTAGGGAATGAGACCAGCTGATCTGTCCTGGGGCTCTTCAATATTAACTGGCCTTCCACATGCTGAGAATATCACACATGTTGTCACACTTAATCTTCTCAGCTGTGGGAGGTATTATTATGTGCACTCAAAAGATGCGGAAGCTGAGGCTCAGAGAGCCTAATGCCTTGCATAAGGTCCATTAGCTATTAAGTAGTGGAGCCAAAAGTTCAGACCAGAGTGCTCAGGCAAGGTGTATTTCGTTCTAAAGCACACGTACCTTCTGTTGTATCACTCTGCTTTCCTTTTAGCTCTGACACATATAATCCTGTGAAAATAGGTCACTTATAGACCGAAAATAACTTTAGACTTTGTGGATTTTTAAATTGAAGGTATAAACTCTACCTTCGAATTTATCATCACCTCTCACTTGGAATACTGCAGTTGCCTCCAGACTCATCTCTTGAATCTACTCTTCTTCTTTCCCAATCTTTTCCATTTGCTGCAGCCAAAGTGATCTTTCCAAAGTTCAATTTTGATTTTCACGCTACAGCTTAAAAACCTTCAATGACTTCCCATCGCTGTTAGGATAGACCACATCCTTAACACGCCTCAATGATGTGGCCCCTGCTAACTGATCCACTTCATCTTGTGCCAGTTTCAACCTTCTTCTCTGTACCCTGGCCACACTAGCCTTCCTTCAGTTCCTAAACTGTGCTTTGCTCTTCTCTTCTGCATAAAATCCTCTTTTTCTACCTCTATACCAGCTAGCCCCTTTTCTTCCTTCATATCTCAGCTCCTATTGTCAATGAGTCAGGTTCTGATACACTCACATAACACCTTGTAGTGTTTCATCTAAGACTCACCACACTTTGTATTCTTACAAGGATTTCTGTTGATTATTTTTTCTTACCCATTAGAATCCATGAGAGCAGTTGTATAACTGTTTTGCCAGGCACATAATTGGCACTGAAAAGATATTTTCCAGCTGAATTAATAAATTTATAATTGAATGAAAGTGATTCTGGGTTAACTAACTTATATTTGATTATTTTGTATATTACTGTTTAGAATTGAAAAAAGAACATTTTCTTTTAATCTCACAAAATAAACTGAGTTTCAGTCACATACCATATTGTTTCTTTTAATACCTCAATGATATAGTATTTCCCCTGGTATTGTATTGTAATTGATTTTCCCTTTCTGAAGTCAATTTTATTTTGCTCAATAAATGACACTAATTCCAACAGCATAGGGGTAATTACCAAATTGACATTTTTTTGGATTAAACCAATTAAACCAAAGCAATTAAAACTTGGGAATGACAACCATAAAAAAACAGTATGTCATTATTCAGTGTACCAATGAAGGATGGAAATGTGTTATAATTTGTTTTTAAATGTCACGTCTTTATTGCACTTGCTAATTAAGTGAGACTTTTCCATCCCAGCCTCGCTGAAAATAATTTAGAATTTTCAGGAGTGATATTTTATGTTTTTCCCTCTAGAATGATTCTGTGCCATGTGCCTATTGTAGTCTGACAAGTGAGACTTGGAAAAGGCCCAGAGAAGGATGCCACTAATGTGTCAGCCTATAGCCCTCATGCGGAGGTGGGCTGTGAGTGCTCAATATTGGCTCCCAGGATTCTGGACTAAACAA